ATATTTATAATAGATGCAATAATTGTTTTAAAAAAAGAAGACATTTAAAAGAATATCAAAAAAATTGTATAATTTGTTATCAATCTACATTATTATATAGGCCAAGTGGAAACAAATATGTTGATAAATTTATTAAATATACACAAATTAATTTTATTCAAGAATCTAGCAGAATGAAATTTATTCCTTATAATCAATTTGAAAATATAGAAAAAATTGGTGAAGGAGGGTTTAGTGTAGTTTATAAAGCTATTTGGAATAATGGTCCATCATATTGGAATGAAGAAAAGGAAATATTTGAAGATAATGATCCTAATATTATTGTTGCTTTAAAGCAACTTAGAAATTCAAAAAATATTACTTCTAAAGAATTAAATGAGGTATATTATTGAATTATTATATTTTTTAATTTTAATAAAATTTTTATATTAATACAATCATTTTAATTCAGCTTAAGATGATTTATAATGCTGATTTAAATGATGGATTTATGGATTCGTTATTTTATTTAAATAGATATTATGGAATTACTCAAAACCCTGTTACAGAGGATTTCACAATTATTATGAAATATTATAAATATGATTTAAACCATTTTATAAATGAAAACTTTAATGACCTTCAATGGAATAAGAAATTAATAATTTTGAGGCAAATTATATTAGGACTTAATTACATTCATAATCAAAAAATTATTCATCGAGATTTTCATAGTGGAAATATTCTTTGTGAAAATGTATATGATAATTATGATATTGTAATAAGTGATTTGGGAATTAGTAAATTATCAACTGAAGTATCAGAAAATAATAATGAATATTATGGAATTATGCCATATATTGCTCCAGAAATTTTTCAAAGACAAAAATATACTGTAACTTCAGATATATATAGCTTCGGTATGATTATGTGGGAATTAATGACAGGTAGAAGACCTTTTTGTGATCGAGATTATGATACATCATTTATTATTGAAATTTGTGATGGTTTGCGTCCTCCAATTGATACAATTGCACCTGAAGGTTATATTGAAATTATGTACGAATGTTGGCATTCTGATCCGAATAAAAGACCAACAGCTAGTAATATATATGATATTATTGAACAAATTATATTAAAAGAAGAAAACAATCCAACTAAAATTATTGAATCATTAAATTCTAAGCCTGTAATCACAAATAAATTTACTTCAGGTAGTATAATAACTTATACAAAACATACAAGCTCAAAAAATCATGGTAAATAGCTTTATTTTATAATCAGATTCATTTATTTATTATGATTATTAATTAACATATATGTATGCTTATAAAAGGTAAAAAATATGATGATAACGATAACGGTATGAATAAAATTTTTATTTATCAATTTCAGTTATGAATAAAAATATTTTTTAAATAAAAAAATGTTATTTTAGATAAATATTGTAATGAATCTAAAAAATCAAATAAAAATGGTAAGTGGAACAAAGTTTAACATTAAATTAAATATAATCTTTTTTTAATTAATACAAACTAATTAGAGTTTTATCATACAGATTATGCTTCCAAAGCATTAGAATATGATGTTTAATAAACAAAAGTTAAGATTATTAGAAGCTAAAACTAGTTTTAACGGCAATTATTTTTATTTTCAAAAAAACTTTATAGTCTAAATATAAAAAATTTATGATGACAAATTTTTAATAA